TATAATATCTAAACAGTAACATTGTGGAAAGAATATATTTCCATTCTATGATTTTTTATACCCTGAACCCATTGAAAATGGGAAATCAGGTTATAATGGTTTTGTTAAAAGTATGTAACAGGCAAAAGGAAGCGTGGCAGGCCCCGTACAGTACATATATTCTTGATCAGGGCGACGAGCTGAGTAGTTTTAGCCCTGCCCGTCTGTCCGTATGCTTGAACGCTTTGATCTCAGAAGATATAAGAGCTAGAGACTACAAATTTTCCTATGTCCGTGCATACCACGCCCATATCGAGCTTATCTTCTAAAATCTGTAACTCATCCCATTATCGTTTGCTATTGATTAAAAACCTTATAGAAAATCAGTAATAAATCTACTACATCATTAGAGCTAGAATCGCCAAATTTTAAATGTACATCTAATATATGGATTATTACTTATTCGTCCGTTCATCATCCACATAATATACATATGTATATACTAAGGTCAAGTACAAGTACAAGTAAGGAGGTTCTAGTCGAGACTGATCCAGGGTATTCACTCTGAACTCTCCAAGCTGATATTCTAATCATTCTGCACTTCTTTTATACACACATTATTTAAAATTTTGATGCTTACGCTAAAAAAAATATGAAAAAATATAAAATAAAAAGTCGTATCAATTATTTTTGGGTCATCGATAGAGAAAATTACCAGTAACTTAATTATCCAAATTTGAAGCTTTAAGCTCTTAGTTTGTATGAGATATCAACATTTGCGGCAGCCCCACTAAATATACTAAATTTGAGGTCTCTATCATCTGTAGTGTCCAAAATAAAATTTTAACTCTTTATAAATCGGAGATATACACGAGTAATTGTCCCACATATCATGTCTCTAGCTACGATAGTGCCGAAATAAACTGCGTCTATAGGGGCCAGGCGAACATTGCACAAAACCAATATACTCATTTCACTTTCGTGAATGAGTATATAAACAAAGACTACAACAACAACTGCTGCGCCAAAATATATTAACACATACACACATTGTATAGGCATAACGCTCTCCACACGCATACATACACACACTCACGCACACACACATGCAAAGAGGCATCATATCGGTGTGTAACAAAATGTGCTGTGATATATGTATGTATATCCGCTCTCTTCACACTCATTGAGCAGGTGTTGGTTCGCTAGCATAGATTGACAAGACGGCGCGTGCCAAGCGAACGGCGACTACCGTTGCACAAACCACAGCCGAAGGGTAAGGGAGACAGAATGAAAGATCGACAGTAGGAGAGAGGGAGAGAAAGAGATAAAGACTGATCACTGAACCATCTCCAACTTTGCTGCACTACAATACATTCGTTCATTCTACGTAGTCCAATAATTAGCAAGGCCTACATACATACCTATATAGGAAGTCGAAGCAATACTCTTATAAGTGCATAATACAACTGTATGGTGTATCTTATGAGAACAGGAATAGTTCAGTTCTTTATCAAAATCACTGTAGAGGTGCACAGCAAGCGGCTGTTATCGATGAAATTCGAAGTCTTCAAGTGCATAGCCGAAATAGCTTTCGCCTATGATAAGATACTATGATTATGGAGTTGAGGTCTCAAAAGGTTTCTACGTTCATAAGGCGGGTTGGTTGTCCACGTTAAAGACGCAGCTGCTGGCTTGAGACTCGGGCTGCACACATGTGTTGTACATACATATATATGCATACATACATTCATACACAGTGCTTGTCTATACATACATACATTCAGTTTGTTTTCCGTGACCTTTCATTTTTACAAGTGAAAACCTCTTTTATGCTACCCAAAGCCCGCGCTTTCTACACAGAACACCTGTTTGATAGATGGAACCGTGACGCCGATCTGAAAAACCACCCCATGCATTCCCTATTTGGTTACCTTTACCCTCCTTATTCCTTACTTCGTTTTTTATACTCATCCACGAACGTGAGCTGAGTATATTGGTTTTGTTCAATGTCCGTCTTGCTGTCCGTCCGTCTATCCGCGTGGCAAATCGGAAAATGCATCTTCCGATGTGTCAAAAATTATATTAGTTGAAGAGCTAGAAAGCTGAATTGAGGAATGTAGATCCGTGTCGACCAGCCAAGATCAAAACTTATGGCGGATATATCTACGCCCATTAGAGGCGTGGCAAATCGGGCTATGGTGGATATATGTCCACCCACAGGGGCCGTGGCAAATCGCAAAAGCTTATATCTTCTACAGTTTAAGAGCTAACAGCTTAAAATTCGGATTATTGAGTTACTGGTAAGCTCCTCTATCGATGACCCAAAACATATTTGTTACGCCTTTGTAAGGGCGTGGCATACCCTGTTATTTTCACATTTTTTGAGCGTAAGCATTTAAATTTTGCAGCTACATTACCTTCAGCTCGCTCTACAGTATTAGAGCTAGAAGCTCAAAACTTAGCTACTCAATTGCTGTTGGGTTGTGAATGAGTATTATGTTCTTGGTAACGCCCGACTGCAGCGTTCTTACTTCTTTTACCTTTAATACGTGATACTAAAGTCTTCAAAGAGAGGGTCTGGGTTCAACGCTCGACTCAGGAGTAGAAAACAGCGACCACACCAAAAAAAAATTAAAAAGAAAGAATATTCAAGTTGTTTAACATTCCCGTCTATATATGTATATATATATATGTGTATATATGTATACAGATAATAGATCTACCAATATAATAGATTTGTAATAGAGTCTAACTCATTCACGAAGTGCCTACTCATAGCATGGCTGCTTAGGTAACTGGTACAAATATTACATATGTCAATGGAAGGATACCTGGGTCCAATTCTAATCGTGTATCCGTAGATCGCAATGGGGTAGCAAATCTTCTTAATCTGCATTAGATTGATCAATAAGTGGTCCATATATTTATACATACGAATGCAAGCCCTATATATATGAGCTGCTTATATTGGGATTTGGGCAAGGAGAGAGAGAGAGAGAGAGAGAGAGAGAGAGAGAGAGAGAGAGAGAGAGAAAGAGAGAGAGAGTAACGCCGTACGATCGTACTGTACCATCAGAACTGCTGATTACGGCTCAAGTCGTCATATTGCCTTTGGCCATATGTAGGTACATATTATGTAAAGTACAGGCCCGACTACAACCCAGCTCCGCTTTCTACTTGCCGGATCACAGCTTATCCCATTGGAATATTTGAGCACTAGGATTAGTTACGCTAATTACTTAAAGTACATATTTTATGTTTCAAATCACTGTCGTGTTTATCAATTAGATATACGTATATATGTATATGTATATGTGTTTATGCTGTATACAGGTATGTACAATGTTTTTTTACATTAAATGTGATACTAGCTATTTTTAAGATGTCAATGTTTGTATGTATTAAGTCGCTGTTATGATTCGATAACTTAGCTAAATACTGAAATAGTTGTATTCTCTTCTTCCATATACATACAGTATATACCACACACGCATACGCATACGCATACGCATACACATATGTATGTATATGTACATACATTCATGCATATGCGTGCGTAAGTATGTACATATGTACATATATGCAAACATATTTATGGACTGTATGATGTGAGTGTATAGTATACATATGTATGTATGTGTGTATGCATGTGTATCATATGTCAAGATGTACGTACATATCCCATATAAATACATATGGATGTGTGTATGTATGTATGTTTATGACTCTATTAATATTCTACATATATGTGTGTGCACTCGTGTGTATATGTATGTACATACGTACTTTAGTTAGTGGACATTCGATCCCCACTAACATGCATTTGAGTACATACATACACACATACGTGCCCACACACCCACTTTCGTGCACATGTAAATACATTTGTATATGGATCATGTGTGTGTTTGATGATCGTGCAACCATTTTATTTTGTTATATTATGCTATGTATGGCTGTCTGTATATGGGCATATTTGTGCAAGCAGCTCGGCGTGCGCCTGTGTCTGCGTGCTCTGTGTATGTGTGTTTGTGTAGAGAGCCATCCATACCGCTTGCTCTTTATTTAAACAATCAGTATTCATATGTTTTCGGTATGAAATTCGGTATTTCAATCGTGGCTCGTGGCTTTTCACGGTCTGCAAGTCAACCGAGACTGCTTTTCTGCTGCTTTTTGTATTTTTTTTGCCGTTTCTCTTGGTCTTTGACTGTTGCTTTTTCTGTTAATGTTGATTTTTGCTTTTGGCTGACGTTGTTGTAGCGGTGCTCTATTGTTGTTGTTGCTGCTTCTGCTGCTGCTGCTTGTGTTATCTCCGTCATAGTTATATGTACATTCATRTGTACATACAGATACATATGCATATGTATATATACATAAGATGATATATATATA